CCGGGCCTGGGAACCGCGCTGCGGGGCCGCTGGGGACACGGCCCGGCCCCGGCCGCCAAACAAAAACAGCCGGCCGTCAGCGGGGTCGGTGGCCCATTCGGCATAGGCACAGACCCCGGGAACAGGGGACCGATGGACAAGCCAGCCGGAGGGAGGGCACAGCAGAGGCCAAGGATGGATCCGCGGGCTGTGGGGGTGGGGGGAACACAGAACAGGTGAGAGGGCTGGTTCTGCAGCCAGACAGGAGGTCGGTGAGATGGATGGGAGGCCTATAGAAAGATGGAGGGAGGGATGGATGGACCAGTGGATAGTCTCTCCGACGCACACGGTGGGAGGGGAGGAGAGGTGGATAGACATACCGGCAGTCGGCAGTCGGAAGGATGGGTGGGAAAGCTGGCAGATGGTTGGAGGAAGGATGCAAGGGCAGATGGAAGCACAGTTGGATGAGACAGATAGATGGCAAGGGGAACCGCTGGCCAAATGGATAAAGGGACTGGAATGCTCAAGAGTGCAGAAAGAAAGGGCCAGCCAGCCAGAAGCCAGGTACCACAGGCTCGTGCATGTGGTTGTAACAGGTCAGCTTTGCATTCCTCCTGGTGACAGCACGTTTCCTAACCCAGCTGACTTGAAGGGACCAGGGCCCCCATCCCACCCTCTCTGGGGCCACCACGTGCCCACAGTGAGGGGCCCAAGCCTGGCCCAAAGAGTGGCCAAGTTCAAAGGAGGGTTCCCAAAGTCAGCCGAAGTTCTCTAGGCTTGTCCCAAAGCAAGGAAAGAGGAGGAAACCGGGCTGTCTTGAACACAGAGCCCTCTGTTTTCTGAACCCCTGAATACAGAGGAAGTCTCTATGGCCATAAGATTCCTGAGCCCAAAGTAAGAGGGCTCCTCCTAGCACAGCTCCTTGCCCCGTCTCTGTCACTCTCTCTTTGAAAAGAAAAGGAGAGGCATGAGGGCATGTAAACACACATGTCATAACCGGCATGAGCATGGACACCCTCTTTAAGCTTGAATTTCTGGATAGTCCCTTTCTGGCCTTAAAGAGCTGTGGATGTAGAGTTCCATCTCCTCATAGGTTTTCTACCTGGCCTAGTATACGTTCTGCTCTTAGCCAGAGCATTCGCTGGGATAGACTAGAACAGGAACTGCAAAACCAATGGGTTCTGGGGCTTCACAGACATCGTAAACGCCTGTTCTGAATCCCAGGGTAGGTGCTTTCCCTAAAAGGTATTCAAGGTCGGATAAAATGACAACAATGAAAACAAGACCACTGCTATGCGATCTCTGCTTCAAACATAATTTCTATACAACATGTGATACTGGAAGCAGCAACATTTATAAAGTCCTTCCAACTTTGAGATACTGGGGGTCCTTTTGGTTAGATGCTTTTTTTTTTTTTTTTTTTGGTGAGGAAGATTAGCCCTGAGCTAACATCTCTTGCCAATCCTCCTCTTTTTGCTGAGGAAGATTGGCCCTGGGCTAACATGTGTGCCCATCTTTCTTTACTTTATATGTGGGACGCCTGCCACAGCATGGCTTGATAAGTAGGGCATAGGTCTGTGCCTGGAATCCAGGCCTGTGAACCCCAGGCCGCCGAAGCAGAGTACGCGAACTTAACCACTACTCAACCGGGCTGGCCACTAGATGCATTTTTTTTTTGGTTTAATTTCTCCTTTTATTTTTTCAGGAAAATGCATTTATGGCATTGTTTAGGCTGTTCTGAGCACTTGATACTTATTAACTCAGTCCTCACAACAATCCAATAAGGAAGGTACTATTATTAGCTTTTTTATGGATGAGGAATGGAGAGGTTAAATTTACCCCAAGGTCACACAGCTAGTAAATGATAGAGCCGGGATTTGAACACAGGTATGCAGACTCTAGAGTCTAGGCTTTTAACTGTCAGGCTCTACTGTCTGTCTAACTGGAAAACTAACAGACCCTCATAGTAAAAACAAGGCGATGAATAGTAAGTCTCCCTCCCTCCCAATGCTATCAATCTTCCTGCCCAGAGGAAACCGCTGTTAACAGTTTCTTTCCAGAAAAATGCAAGTGTGCACATAAAAGCATATATCTAGTTATACAAATTGTATACCTATCTACATTTTTTATAACAGAAATAGAAGCATTTTATACCATTGCTGCACCTCCTTATCTTACTTAACATTATATATATGAAGGCTTTTTTCCATATCAAAACATTTAGATCTACTTCATTTTAAGGGCTGTAAAGAATCCATTCTAAAGAAGTAATATAACTTAATTCACTAGCCCTCAAGATTTATGTGGTTTGCAGCATTTTCTTTTATAAATAATGCTACCATAAGCATTTTTATATTTAATGTCTTTTCTCATCTGCACAAGTTTATTTCAGAATAAGTTTGGAGAACCAGACTTTTTCCCTGCATTTAAAAATTTGACACATTGCTAAATTACTGTGCAAAGTGGTTACATGAATTTATATATAATTGATTTATAAATAATGCTTGATTCTGCAAATTTATATTTACTAAGTGACATTTATCTTTATAAAAGTCTAGAGTAGAAAGGGAGTTTTTGCTTTCTAATGATTAGAACTAGTCAAACTGTCAAGTTTAGCTTCTTCCTTATGTCTTTTAACAATACCCTCAGCAAGAAAGTGTTATTTTTCAAGTTAATCTGCAGTTTCTAAAAGAGAGCATGCATCACGTGATAAATTACTTTCAGAATTTAGAACTAGGAAGTTTTGCAATTTTTCTTTATTGAGTAACAATTATGCACCTCCCTCTCTTTTTGCTTTGGCTTCCAGGATGCTCAGAATTACATATGAAGCTCAATCATAACATCGATATTAACCAATGAAGAACCATCACTATTTTTATATTAATTTATTCCTATTTTTAATGACCTAATTGGGCACATATGTATCTTATACTGTGAATCCCTCAAATCTATTTTGGAAGTAGGTGATATACAAAAGAATAAAATGTAAATGATCTTAAGATTAATAAAAGAAGTCAGGCAACATGGCTAAGGGGAGAGGCAAGGAAAGAACAATGGGCATAACTTTCATTCCCTTCCTGTTTGAAATGTCTATGAGACTTAACTATTGTTATTGCTTTTCAGAATCATCCTTAAAAAATAACAAATTAGTAAAATTCCCCTCATCTTCCCCACTTTGCAACTGGGCAGCAGGAATTAGAAATTCAGGGTAGAAAGGGAACTTGGAGATTATCTAAGCAAACCCATCATGTTAGAAATGAGGAAACTGAGGCCCAGAGATGTGAGGTGACTTACCCGAGGCCACAGCTCTAGGAAATGACAGAGGCAGGACTAGAACGTGGGTAGCTTGAGATCCAGGCCAATGTGCTCTTCCACTGCGTAACACGCAACTCAGACGACTTGGGGTGGCAGGAGGGAGGAAGAGAAGGTGACCCCACAGCCCCTATCAACAAAAACAACAAAAAGGACTTGAGGCACTCATAAATAATTAAGCAATTAACTGCAGCAGCTACACCCCTCCCCTCCAGCATCCAGTCACCAAGGCAACTTGGGCAGGGTGCCTGCTGGTTGCCTAGTAACAGTGTGGTCTGCTCCCCTGACATGCTCCCTAGGCATCAAAGGATTTGAGAGCCAGGAAGAGCCTTAGACAGGGATCACTATTCCAACACCTTCATTTTCCAAACGGGGAAATGGAGGCCCAGAGAAGCCGAGTAACCTGCCCAAGGTCACACAGCTACTCAGAGGCACAGCCAGGCTCCAATTCCAATTGCTTTCCATTGCACTAGGGCTGCCTTCGGGATGCAGCAGATGGAGGAGAGATCTCTCTACAGTTCCTAGAAGAATAAGAAAGTAAGAGCGAGCGAGCAAGCAAGAAAGAGACAGAGACCTTGAGCTCTCATAAGCAATTAGCAGGAGCTGGTAATCCCATCAGCCCAACTTTCATCATCACCACGGCAACATGGGTGAGGCGGGTGCCGGTTGCCTAGTAACAAGTGATCCTCTCTCTTCCACTCACATCCGGCTCCCTGGGAGTCACAGGAACAGAATGTTGGAGCTGGAAGGGATCCTAACTCAGTCTCCTCCTTTGACCAACGAGGAAACTGAGCTTCGGGGACACTGTGCAAGGTCACAGAGCCACAGAGCTAGCTAGTGACAGGGACTCGTTGGCCAGCCAGCCTTTCCTGAATTCCCTCCATTTATTGCCTCTATCACAGCACTGCAGGAAGGGAAATTTCACTCAACGGAGTCAAAATATGGGAGGGCGATGGCTGGTGGTCCCCTGGAGGTACTTCTACCACTTGTCTAAATGGTGGCTATGCCACACACAAGGTCTGGCTTACAGTAGATGTACATAGGAGGCACTATGCACGGTAGGTAAATACAAGGTCTCTAAAGTCAGAAAACCTGAGTCAAAAGCCAGCTCTCCCCAAACCAGGCAAGCCCTCTGTGCCTCAGTCTCCCCATCCAAGAAATGGGCATCCTAACAGTCCCTACCTCTCGAGTTGTCATTAGGATTAAATGAGAAAATGTACATGTCAAGTGCTTGGTATATAGTAAGATGCAGTAAATGTTAGATATTCATTTATTCTACATTCAATAAATATTTGTTGCATGTCTGCTATGCAAATGCCACTGTTCTAGGCTCTTGAGATTCATTAGTGAGCAATACAGAAAAAGAAATCCTTGTCTCAGGGAGCTTACTTTCCAGTGGAATGAATATATATATTCATTAAACATTATACGTATAATGTTTAATGTTTCTTGAATGGGCGGAGGAGCTCATTGGCAATATGCTATGTTTATGTTACTGGGCTCCTTCTCTAAGACTGAGAAGTTTCCTGTTTACAGGGTGTGATGCTATAAATATGCAGGCCTGTCTTGTACGTGGGAACTCTGTTTTCCTTTCTTTTAAAAGCTCAGAAGAAAAAGGAAGGCAGTGACCACTAGATGGCAGACCTCAGTGTCCCTAGATAGCGGAGGAAGGCACAGGCCTGGGGTACAGGTCCTGACTGACACTTCCAGCAAAGGCAAGTGTTGCAGTCGGTCAGTCCTAGGGCAATGGCTTGGAGGGGTGGGGGAGACTTGAACGGCCTCTGGGACACTGACGGCGTTGAAGAGACTGTAGCATGGCTTAAGAGTGCTTCCTGTAATGAGACTGAATCTGCTTTAACCAAGAGCCTGCCATGGGTAAGCTGTGTGACCTCGGGAAGTTATTAACCTTGCTGAGCTCCAGCTTCCTCCTCTGGAACATGGAGATAATGACAAGAGCTCCCTAAAGGGGCTGCTTTGAGGCATATATGAGAAAATATGGCTAACGTGCCTTTCAAGCTGCACATAGGTAAAGCTCAACCAATGTTACTTATCTAGAATCTAAAAGATCCCTGAGGGTCTAGGTTCCAAGTTGCAAGTGGAAGGGAAAAGGGTAAAGGAAATTGCACTTGTTAAGCATTTGCAATGAGGAGACTGAGGTCCTCCCAGTCACCATGACTGGAAAATGTGACGTCGAGGTTTGGTTTCCCCACCCTCCACATCCAAATCCACTGATGAGCCGCGGAGTCCTTGTTTTGCTCTTCCTGCACCCATCGCATTGATCTCCCTTCTTTATTCCCAGTGGTACCACCCACTCCCGGTCCTCGCCTCCTGAGTTCCACCAAGCACAACACCCTCCTCCCTGGTTTCCCTGCTTCTAGCACTTGCCCCTCCAACCCACTGCCAGACAGCAGCCTGAGCAATTGTCCCCAAACATCAATTTGATCATACCTGAAGTGCTTCACTGGCTTCCTACTGCTCTCAGGATAAAGCCCAAACTCTTTCCGGGGGCCAACAGGGCTCGGCATCTTCCGGATCTTTCCTGCCTTTCTAACAGCATGGCTGCACTCTCCCCTTCCTCAAAGCTTCTCTGTGGCCAAGAGGCACCTGCACACGCTGTTCCCTCTCCGGAGCCTCCAATGCCTCTGCTCTGCAGGGCTGGCCCCTTCTCCTGCTCAGGCCTCCTGGGCAAGACCTTCCCCACCCTCCAGCTCTAGAGCAGGTCCTCTCTCCTACCTAATTATTTCCTTCACAGCACGTGTCAAAGCTGCACTGATTCACTGCCCGTCTTCCACACCAGGACATCTGGTCCAAGAGGGCTGGGCCCTCTTGTTCACCTCTGTGCCCCTGGTGCCCAGCACAGGGCTGGCCGCATGGATGGCATACCACCAAGATTTGTTAAGGAAATGAACTGGGTGTTCAATAGCTATTGATTGAAAAAACAGTCTGTGAATTTGTCTCCCAATTTCTAGTCTTTCTCTTCTCCCAGTTTATCCTTTCTGTGGATGGCATGTTAATTTTCCTAAAAAGCACTTTTTCCCTGTTACTTCTTTGCTCAAAAGCACTAAATGGCTGACTGTCTCTCACAGGCTGAGTTCCGAAATCTCCAGTCTAGCATTTGAAATCCTCCCCACCCACCCCACATCTCCAGATGCATTTGCAAGTATATTTCCTAATGCATTTGGTTATATGTATATTTACATATACTTGGAAATATATAAATATATGTTAAATATATGTATTTGGAAATATATATATTTGGACACACACTCTACCCCTTGGTGCGTCTTCAGCTCGGCCGTGACCTGAGCTCCTGGGGACTGGCCTGCACCCTTCTCCTCCATCACTGCCTCCCCAGTTCCTAGTACAGAACACGGGAGATTCAACTCTACTGAGTCCATGATCCATCTACTCCCCACTCAGTAAACACACTGCGTGCGCTCACATCTCCACACTTTGGCCTGAGACCTTTCTTTTCTTCTCTGGCCATCCAAATTCTCCAACTATCCTTTAAGGGCCAGGGCAAGTTCCATCACAGGAGATCAGTCACCAAACACACTCCTGAAAGGGGCAGGAGATCCAGAGTTCCACAGCCATGGCTGAGCAGGTGCCCAAACTACTTTCCTCAGGAACGCTGCTGCCCTGGCAAAGGAAACAGTGGAAACTAACCATGCTTTTCCTTGGTTCAGAAAAAAGTCCCAGTGATTTCGGAAACATTGGTTCTGTGTCCAGTCTAATGATTCAGATTAAGGGACCTTTGCTGTGGCTGCATAGGATTTTACTGAGAGGAGGGCCAATGATTCATATAACCAACTCCTACTGTTGGGCATTTAGATTACCAAGATTTGTCTCCATTATATGCAACCCTGCAATAAATATACTCTGCAAATCATTGGCTCCTTATCAAAGAGTAGTTATTAATGCTCCCCCAGGCCAATCAATCAACCAGAGATGTGAGGATCGCTGAGATCAGAAACTGGACATGAAGAGGAAGGCCAGCAGGCTTCAACTTGGTTTTTGGCAGTTTTTAAAGGAGAGGAAAAGATAGATAGTAGAGAGGCAATGTGATCAGAGAAAAACCCAAAAATGTGTGTTTGAGCCGACGCTTAACTGCTGTGTGATTTGGGACAAATCGATCATCCTCTTTGATTCTTCTTTCTTCTCAATTGAAAAATGAGTGCACTCATAATACCCGCGTCACAGTGCTGTGTGGAGGGGAGGCCCCGCGTAAGCCATAAAGTGCCACACAAGAGTCGGCTGTTGTTTCCTTACTACGATTCCTGCTGGGGATAACCACAGCTTCTGTGCTGTTTGAACACGGGTGTTCTCCTTTGCACTCTTTGGAGATTTAGAGGAGTGTGTAGAGCAACCAACTGTCCCAGTTTGTGTGAGACTACTGGGATTTGAGTACTGGAAGTCCCGGAAAACCCCTGCTCAGTCCTGGCAAACAGGAACGGTTGGTCATGCTAGGAGCATGTCCCCCGAGCACTGCCTTTTCCACTTGGTTTTCTGCATCCATAGTGGAGGCCTCCAATCCCCACTGCAAGCTGACAATTGCTTGCTAAAGAAGATAAGTCAGCAGCAAGCTAGTCACTTCTTTACAGCTAAGAAGCTAGCTGCTTTAGGGATAAGATTTTGTTTTGAGCTTTCAGTTAAGGCTCAGACATCATTTAGGGGAACATTTGGCAAGCAAGTACTCTGAGGAAGGGCATTATGCTTTCCAAAGCTTTATTTTTAAGCTTAAATAATCACATCATATTATGGCATAAGAAATATATACTTATATACAAAATATAAACTTAGCAAAATATTAGGAGGTGATGTGCCCTGTTACAAAACGACCACCTGTACCTTATTTCCCCTATTAGCCTAAGCTGCTTGAGAGTGGGGACCTCACTTCTGTAGTTCTCACAGAATATTATAAGGATTGCTTATGTAGTGGATACTCAATAAATATCTGGATAATGAATCCTTCTATGATTAAAACATTCATTGAAATGTATATTGAAATATTTTATAAGTCATTTACTTCTTAAGAGCTGCGTACTCTAAAATTTGAGAAGCTATTATCAATTGATGGGCAATTAGAAAAGGAAAAATAAAGCAATTTCTGAAATGAAGCCACATTATTTGTTTTCCAAAAATATTGTAATTGCATAAAATTTTCAGAACTATAAATACCGTGCCAAGTGCTACATTAGGAATCATGAAGTGCTTTCAAACAGCGCTTTAGGCCAACGAAACCTCTGCAGTTACTTAATCTCTTTCCTTTTACCAGCAGCAGAAATTGCATACTTCCTATACAGAAAGATACTGTCAACTTGTTACTCCTTTCCTGTTGATTGTCATTTGTTACATAATAAGCACATGATGTTAAGTTGCATGGCATGGTATTTCTTTAAAAGTTTCTTAGTTTTTATGGTAAGATGGTGTCTTTTTCTGAAAAGTAAAAAATATGCACATATTGATCATACTAGGTCCATTACAAAATGTGGTCTCTATTGGGAGTTATGATAAACATGATACCCCATAGATCACTTTGCATGTGTGTTTGTGTCTCAAATTTTTACTATCATTAACAATGATCTTGGAGATAGCTAAGAATCATTTTTGTCTTTCCCAAATCTTCCAGATCTCTTAGAATTAAACTCCGAATTATCCTAACTTGGAGTTAATTCTCTATCATTCCTAAAATGCCCAAGGGTCATGTTTTCTTGTCTTAGGGACTAAAAT